GAAGTCTTGAGTTTTTGTTGGTTATAGCATGATATTTCTATTTTCCCTTCAAGGCTCTCCAGATGTTATTGGACTGCAACTCTATAATCCCTTTCTTCAATTATTGCCATACCACTTAGAGCTAATGAGAATTGTAGTCCAGCAACGCCTGGAAGGCCATGTCATGCCACTTCCTAAAAAACTCAAGACTTCTGTCCCCACTGAGTTTTAGTGCCTTCCATTTTCCAGTCTTCTAAAAAAAGTGCACTCTCACCTCGTCAAAGTCAGCAATGATCTCGTTGAGCAACCGAAGGCATTCAACACCCTCATTGTTGGCTTCCAGCTCCACGTAGAACTCAGAGAAGTTGCTGATCGAGGCAAACATGACAGCCACACACTCACACGATTGGTGGTACAGCTCATCATTGAGGCGCTCCCGTGCCAGAAAGTGAGCTGCCACATCTTTGGGCAAGATGTTGTGTAACAGACGACGATTATAAGCCTGCAGCTCTTCCATCTCTTCCTTCTCACCTGTAGCCTGGGGAGAAATCAGGTCATTACTTATGCAGACGTTTAAACGGAAAATATTAAAGAATGAATAGATCTCTTGCATGAATAGATCTCTCGGGGTGACTTACAATGGATCAACAAGAGTCCTTGATTCTAGTAGTCACAAAAGGCTAACCTTTTGCAGAAATAAAATGGGTGCCTGGGTAGGCTAAACTGGAATTCTGCACAGAATGAGAGTTTGGTTCATTTAATGTTAGTGTTCATTTTTTTAAAGTCTAAAGATTGGTTTTTCTCAATCTGACAGTCTCTGTCACTCCGTATACCATAGTTATTGTCCATATTAGTTGAGGATAATGAGAGCTGTAATACAGTATTTCACATATTCATTTTGTTCTGGAATATCCATTCAATTTTTAATAGGTTCATGATCTTTTGAATCACCAGTGATTTAGAAATTAATATGGAAACATATTATTATGTACTCTGTGTACTCTTAAAATCACAAAAAATTGACAAAAAAATTTAGGACATTTTTCTTTCAATTGTACAGGTAATCCTCAACTTGCAACCACAATTTTAACCAGAATTTCCATTGCTAAACAAGGCTATTGTTAAGTGAGTTGTGCTGAATTTTACAACCTGCTGTGCCATAGTTGTTAAGCAAACTGCTGAGATTAACTGAATATGCAGTTGTTAAGTGAATCTGACTTCTCCCATTGACTTTCTTGGAAGTTAGCTTGCAAGAACACAAATGGCAATCACATGACCCCCGGGATACTGCAACTGTCATAAATACATGTCAGTTGCCAAGCGCCTGGATTTGGATCATGTGATTGTGTGGATGCTGTGATGGGCATAAGTGTGAGGATCTGTTGTAAGCCACTTTTTTCAGTGCCATTGGAACTTTGGACAATCACTATATGAAGGATTGTATTTCAAAAACTACCTGTACTATGATCTGAAGAGGTTATCTCTGTATCTATAAGTCAACAATAATTTTTCTGCCAGGAGTCTTGAAAAAAATGTAGATTAAATTTGTTATATATTTTAAATCTTCCATTAAGCAGGCATTAACCAAACTCAGCACATGTTATTTTAGTTATAGAATAAAAAAAGAAATAATATATTTGCAAGACTGGGTGCTACTTGAGGATATAAAGTTTCTCTCTCACCATGTTTCCGTCAAATGTTTAAGAGCAAACCAGAATTATATCTCAGATAGCTGGTATCCACAGGGTTGGACATTGTACAACAGTGGCCCCCAACCTTTCCAGCTCTGCAGACTGATGGGGGGGGGCAGTGGCAGAGGCGGTCATGGTGGTCAGGTGGGGACAGAGGACGATTCCATGTAACAGCACCCTCCACTAGCACATATGGAGCTGAGCGCGCAAGCACGTGCACCCCCCACTTACACAAATGGAGTTTCGCCTGCTCAGCTGTTTGCCCGCCACTTGCCCAGCTGATTCCCAATGGGCCACGGGCCAGTACCGGGCCACAGCCTGGGGATTGGGGACCCTTGTTGTACAACTACATCATTAAGAGTTTGTATGACAAAGTATCAGGGACATGCAGTCAGGGGAGGCGGGGCCTCACCAGTGTCATGAGGAAAAGAAAAGAAATTTTAAAATAATTAAAAAGGCTAA